GATCATCTCCAAACACTGGGAGCTGCCGAAGCCTCCTCCACAAAGAGGGGCTGGGAAAGGGAATGAAATCCCTAGGAAGACTCATCTCAGAGACAGCTCCTACCTGGTAAAGAGCAGGATAGGTTTTTTTTGTTTTGTTTATTTCATAAAATCTCCCTGGGAACTTTGGTAAGGGGAGATGCAGAGAAATGCTCCCTTTCTCTTCTGAAAACAGAAATTAAGTAGTGGCTCACCACATCTGGGCCTGCTCGCCACACTCTGTTTTTCCATTTTCCATCCCAAAAGGAGCTTGTATCTCATTAGTTTCACACCTCCCCAGTCCGGCTCTGCTCAGCAAGGAGAAAAGAGCATGAGACAGGAGGCTGCTGCTCCAAGCTGAAGGCCGTGGGAAGCACTAACAGAGCTCAATGGGCAGAGAGGGGAGAAGTCCCCAAGAGCAGCCCAGGCTATCGGAGGCATCGAGACATCCACCACCTGCCACTGGAAAGCCAAGGGCACCAGAGAAGTCCAGATAAGAAAAGCTGTCCTAGCATTCCCTGCCTGCCACCTTCTGGTCCGACACCAACATCTGGAGGCTTCCCTCTTCCCTGCAGTCACTCCCTCCAGCACAGACATCTTGGATGGGGAAGCCAGCACGCAGGAGCGGCCTCCTTGCTTTTAAGAAACATTCGGGGAACTCTTCCCCACCACCCCGCAGGAAGCCAGAGCAGAAGGCGGCAGCCCTACTTGAGCACAGTCCCATTGGGGTGTTCTCTCCCCTGCTCACTTCAAAACCTCCAGCATTTGCTGGCCCCAAGATGAGGGTATGCCTCACTTGACAACACCGTCACAGCACACAAGGCAGCTCTCCCATCTGCCTCTAAGATCTGACTACTGTCAGAGATGGGATGCTGGACTACATACAGATGGGACTTGGTTCTCTGTCCTGATGTGGTGAATCCTATATGGAAAAATGCCATTCCCCACCTCATGCTGGAAGAAGCCAAGAGACCTTATGGAGGGGAGGCACATCTGCTTCCCAGGAGATAAGCCCACCATGTTTAATCCTGCTTGGATATGGGGGAGGGAAAATAGAAGAGACAGCGACTTGGCAGGAAAGGTACATGCCAACCCCAAATCTTAGCAGCTTGCTGTGCATGCAAAGTAAGTCAACTGTTTCCATGTTGGTGGCTCAATCCACGTCATGGCAGAACGTGACCGGCCATTTGTGAGGGCCGCTCGGCCAGAAAACCACTTGGAGACTCCACCTTAGCTCACAGGAGAGGTATGGGAGGGAAGGGAACTCACTCCAACACTTGGGAGGCAAGGACGGGAAGGGTTTGTAGACAGGGTTCCTCCAACATGCAACTTGCCTTTTCAGCTCAGAGATCGCTGCTTAGTCCCAGAATGCCTTTCCCTCCAGTTCAAGCAAGTCAAACACCTTCCCAGACACACATGCTTCGATACTACAAAATACTCTTTTCTCTAAGGACCATCTAATACCACTACAGTTTGTGCAATCACTGCATTTATTATTAATTTTTAAACTCTCTCTCTCTCTCGCTCTCTCCCTGTATAAATTTTTTTTAAACTTTTCTTTTTTTTATGCAAAACTAATCATTTCACTTTTTCCACTCCATCATAAAATCTCCTCTAAAAACACGACAACAAGAGAACAAACATGGCACAGACACAGAGAATATCTCCCTGTTTTGTATTTTTTTTTCTTAGGGGTTACGGGGAAGGGAAGGGGATACTTTCAAATAAACCCCTCCCTCAATCCCACGCCCTTTTCAAAGAGCATGGATAGATCTTCCTTCCCATCTCCATTAAGGAGTAAGGGCAAAAATTCAGAAGGAGGAGCATAACCCACGTAAATACGAGGGTAGGTTAGTCAGCCTCAAGTGGCTTGTCCACCTGAGGGAACTTGAGGCTGCTGCTGCATCCAAGTTAGCAGACCTCTAACTGAAAACAGCACAGGATCCTAATTTCGGATCCAGAAGTTTAGGTTCCCACCTGGTGACCCACCCAGGAAGAGATTTGTCACACAAGCAGTCGAGCTGTGTCTGCAAGCCGGATCATACTCCTTTCTTCCTCCACAAAGAGGATCTACTGCACGAGTTCCTCTGCCACAACAAGTCCCCTCATGTCCTCACCACAGGAAGAAGGTCCTCACGGAGTATCCCTACAACGACCCACTGTTTTGCTCTTCACAGACAGTCCCCTTGCTTGTAACTCTGGAGAAAGGCAAAAACCCTTCAATTAAACAATTCCTGCCCCCTGCCCCCAAAGAACACCATACAAGAGACACTGGGGAAAAGAATTCTGCCAAGTGAATACATCTTGGCCAAAACACATCAAGAGTTTCCTATTAAAGTTCCCTTTTATCTCCCACTTAAATGCTTCAATTTACTTTTTTTTTTTCCAGAACCTCAATACCACGAAACAAAACACATCACCACATACACACCAAACAGTAACTTAACAACCTAAAGTGACTGGCCAGTTTGCATCCACCCCATAAATAAGCTCCTCTTATCTTGCAGCCTCAGAATAATCCTTGTTGAGAAGGGGGGAAAAAAGAGAAGAATCTCCTTGCAATTTCCCTATGCCTACAAACTGCTCATCTTTGTAGCTGCAGTCAAAATGGATAGGCTATGCTGAAATAAGGGATCCCCAGGTGTGCCAGGCACAGGAAAGATGCAAAAAAACCAAAGACACAAAAAATACAGGCAGGTATTAATATAGACACGCACACAAGTCCAACAAGTTTTAGGAAGCCTTAGCTTGATGAATAGATTGGGGAAGTCTCTTTCTCCCTGCCCCCAGCTTCAGCTGTGAATGCAACTGCATCCCCAAAGAGTCCACTAAGCTTTTTAACCAAGGAAAGAAAAAGAGGTGTGCAAAGGGTGGTGCTAACAGCACCTGGAATCCCCCTCAGACTGTCTGTGCAGACACCCAGCTGCAACTGGTGTGAATTCACCATGCCTCATAGGTTTGAATTCCACCTGCTGCGAGGCAAGGCTTGTGAGGAGGGCAGCAAAGATTTTATTACACCAACCCAGGCGCTGGAAGCAGGGAGAAGACAAGCTCTGGGCACAAAAGCCCTAATTAAGGTCAGAAGCTGGTCTATCCCTCTACCGCCCTGACAACGCCTCAGGCAGACAAATACTGCCTCTCTCCCACAAACCGCCTCCCTTCTACCCTCAGACCACTGTAACCACAAAATCACTACTCCACACGAGAGCACTCCTCGGAGCCAGCAGCTCCCAAGCATCCTCGTGTGGAAGCACCAGAGGGGCCAATTCCACTTGTGTTCGCCCGCCCAGGGCAGGTAAGTAGGTGAGCCCCGGTGCAGGGAATTTTTTTTCCACCCTTGTCACCTCTGCAGCATGTTATGTACAAGTGACACCCCTCTGCCCTAGCCCGAATACGGGGGACACGGCTGAGAGGGTGAGGCTCTCCCACTGATTGATCAGCACCTCTTTTCCCTGCCCCTACAGGATGCGAGTAGGGGGAGAAGGGAGAGCAAAGGAATGACATCTCACCATGGAGCTTAGGACCCATACCAAAATGTAGCAAGCCAGAAATGGCAGGTGAAAGAGAGAGCTTATTTTGAATGGGAACAGGGATGGTCAGGAAAAGAAGGAGCTGTAGGTATAGAATGGCAAGCTGTGGTCTTGCTCGCTCCTGCTTGCTGCCGTGAAGAGAAGTAATTTCTAGATCAGCTCACAGGAGCTCTGGGGGAAAAGATCCAGTACACACACATACGATGTGAGAGAGACAGGTATTTCTTATTAGCACCTTTGGTTGACAATTGTAAGGACGGTTTCAGATGCTGAAAAGATAGAGGGGAACCCTCTTCCAGGCCATCCACCACAGGGAAGGGAGGGCAGGAGAGACAAAAGGAAGCAGGAAGACCAAATGACCCGCCTTAGCATCCATCCATCCATCCCTTCTGTGGGAGCTGAGGAAGCAAAAAGGGTCAGGGGAAGCCTACGCAAGGCAGGAGACCAGCCTCACCTGACTGGGCCAGCATCACGCTGCCAGTGTCTCTTCCCCCAGACTGAAGGAAGGATGCATGGCCCGCTGCCACCTCCACCACAGAAAGGCCAGGGAAGGTCATTTCATGCCTCCTCCCCCAAGCAAGTGCAAGTGATGAACACCAGGAGGAAGATCTGGGCCAGAAGCAGACTCCCTTTTTCTTCCCTTCCCCCTGCAAAGCTGAGCAAGTTGGAAGATGCAGGAGAAGAGGGACCAAGCCACCTGAAAGCACCCATACAACTGCCAAGGTAGCACCAATAGTCAAAGGAAAGGGGAAGCCAATATGGGGTGTATGGTGCGTGGGGCACTCCCCACCACCCCAGCTTTGTCTCAAGCACCTTCCAGGCATGACACTTCACCTGCCCCTCTCCCCCTTGCACTGAGGGCATCCGGATCAGCCACTGCCACGAGGACAGCAGAAGAGAGGGCAGATCCAGGCCACAGGCCAAGAAGGGGAAGAATGGCAGGATCAGAGTCATGGCAAGGGGGAAACACAGGCATGGAAGAGACTGCATGCACATTGTGAGAGAAGGCTTGGGGGGTGTGGGCAAGGGCTCCAGTCCTCTTACATCCTCCCCTCAAAGGTCTGGAGCTCCTCTTTAGTTTTTGTAAAAGATGGAAGGGGAAGGAGGATGAAGAGCACCTTCCCCACCACCCCCACAGGCACACAGACACACGCTCACCCATCCCTCATCCCCAAAGACTCCACTGCCCGTTGGACAACACCACATTCAAGGACAATCACTCCCCAGCCCCTTGACCCTCCCTGCCTCCTCCCAGCAACAGTGACACCCAGGAATGGTGGGTGTCCCTGCTTCCCCCCACTGACACGCTCCAGCCTCCAGGCAAGAGGGAGCGAGCAGGAGGAAAGGAGGAGGAAGGGTGGCAGTGAGGGCGGAGGGACAGCCAAGGGGAAAAAGAGAGAACTAAGGACAGCCATTCGCACCACGACTTCTCGCAGGTAGAGCTCCCCCTACGCCCCTGGAGTGGGGGGACCTGGCTGCTCACTTGCTGCCCCCTCCACCACCGCTGCCCGCTGCCACCTTCTCAAAATCCTCTGCATTGCAGAACTCCTTGATGGTGACGGTGAGGAGGTTGCTGGTGACATCCGTGACCACCACATTAGAGCAAGGGGACATCTCGGGACGCCAGTCGCCGGCCTCCTGCTCTGGGTCAGAAGAGGAGAGGGACAAGGAGGGCGTCTGCCCCCCACTGCACCCTCCTGGGGGAGAACGCTTGCTGGTGGCAGCGGGCTCAGGGTTTTTTTAAGGACCTCTGACTCACGCCAGTCGGGGATGGCTGGGCTGAGGGTCTCAGGGAGCAACTTTGGAGGGGAATCATCTGGGTCGGAAGAAGAGTGGGGGGCAGGGGAGGGGCAGCCAGAGGAGCTGGAGCTGGGGGCATCATAGGGGGTGGAACCCATAATGAGCCCACAGGAGGCTGCCTGGGAGCCTTCGGCCTCCCCTTTGCCCTCCAGAGAGGGGGCAGGCGCAGCGGATGGCTTATTGTAGAGTGAAAAGGTGCCGAACTTCATGTGGCGAATCTGGGTGCGGAGGACGCTCTCGCTGAACTTTTTGCTCTTGCCAATGACACGGTTTCGGGATGGGATCTTGGGTCGAGCCAGGCCCCCAGCCCCATTGGCTGTCTTCCCACCTTTGTCAATGACTTTGAGGTTGAGGATGATGCGGCTGCGCTTGGGCTCACGGGGTTTCACCTTACGATTGATGATGCGGACGGTCTCCGAGAAGGGTGAGACAGGAGGACGGATGCCAGCCCCGCCACCCACGCTCCCGCTGTTCTGGGGGTCTGGACGAGGCAGGGGGCGCCGGGACATGCGATGGCATCGCCGGATGTCTTTCTTGAGCCGGTGCACCGCGGCGCTGGAATGGAGCTTGGGAGAGGAGGTGCTGGAACCAGGCTTGACAGAAAAGTGTACATCCCCAATGTGGAGGGCCTCCGCTTGGGCCCGAGCCTGCGGTGGTGGGGAGAGAGGAAAAAAAACCAGGGTCAGAGAGGCAGCCTAGGTGCAGCCAAAGTTCAAATCAGGCATCGCTCACCTCAGCACAAGCACTTACCAGGAATTCCATGTCACGTTTATACCCACATTCACGACAAGCACACATATACACCTATAGACTATTAAGAGCCACGGCACAGCCTCCATACGAGCATGGGGCACTTCTACATCCTTTCTGGGCAGCTAATTACTCCCTAGGCACTGCCCCTGTTGACGTGCGCTTCCCCCAGGAGGAAACTGCCACTCTCCAGCCATGTTTCAGGGTTACAATTAACGGTTTCCATGGCCCCCCTCAGTCATCATCAGCCAACAGGCACAACCCTTCACTGTCAGACAAAGAACCAAGCATCCTCCTAAGCACTGGGACTGTTGGTATTGAGTTAGCATCCGAAATTACATACTAGTTTCAAGACAGGGAACTTTATCTGGTCCTCTATGAAATGAGGATGAGACAAGGTGGAGAGGAAGAGTAATGCATCCAGTTTGTTCTTCCTCTCCCACAACCAGGCTCATCTGCTCTGGAAAGCATGGTAGAAAGGGGTCTCAAGGAACAGATGGAAGTGGGCAAGGGTGGTCTGACAGAGCTGTCTGAGCTAAACATAAGAAATGCAGAGATCTGAAGCTTAATTTTAACTAGATACCACAAGCAAGTTGTTTATCCTTACTCCACTGTGGAAGCAAAGTCCAGTGTTTAAGGCTAGAGACTCAGCCAGCTGGAATTCAAGTCAAGTTTAAAGTGCATCTCCAAAGAAAAGACTGCCTTGTCCTTTTGAACACCACACTTGTTTGAAACCTACTAATGAAACAGAGCAGGAATAGCACTGGTTCAGCTGCTTGGTGCCAGCCCTCCCCAAGAGCCAGGGCAGGGGAACAAGACTTTTAAGCTCTTCTGGTGCTTTGCAGATAGTGCCAAAACCTGCACCAGAGACAGGAACACTTTCTGGCAGCAGGAAAAATAGTTTTGTTGGTAAGTTGAGACAGTATGACTTGAAGACCCTGTGGGCATGGAAACTCAGAGCATTTTCTTACATCACGCCTTGTCAGAGCACAGCTGCTTGTAGAGCTCAGCCTCCCACCCGCACCCCACTTCCTGCCCAAACAAACCCCCTTCCTTACTCCCTCTCAGCAGTGGTCACAGGCAGAAGCCACCTAGGCCTAGAGGGGACAGGCCAGCACCCAGCTGACTGCGCATTTAGTGAGCAGCTTCCCCCATCTCGTGGGCACAACAAGAACTGCAGTGCTAGAAAGAGACAGCTGCTTTTCCTCCCCAAGTTTTCCATCCTGTTGCCCCCTAGCACACACCAAGAGTAGGATGGCTTCTTGCCAGCTAAGAGCTTAAGCACTCCAACACCATCCCCTTTGTCACCCTGCAAGCTGTGCCTCCTACCAGAGCAATGCCTGGAGAAAAAAAAAAGAAGTGTGCGTGTAAAGGCAGGGATCTAACAGATCTAAGTGAGGGGCCCAGGCCAGCTCTTGCACAACAAACTCAAAGCCCTGGCCCTACATCCCCAGAACTCTGCTGTCATCCAGTACCCCTCTTCTTCTCATGGGAAGCGCAGAAGATCCTGAACAAGTAGGGAACAGAGATGTGAAGACATTTTGTTCCTCCCTGGCTAGTGCTGGATCATGCCCTGCAGTACTTACTTGTATCCTGGCTTTAAAAGGACTGCAAAGATTAGGCCTCCTTCCCTGGCTCTACATGAAAACACAGACTGAGGGCTCATCTGCACCAGGGGCTCTAGGCTTTGTATTAGCCAACTGACAAAGAAACAGGGATGAGTAACATTAGTGCCAAGGCAGGCATAGACACTCTCCACATTAACCCTGGGCTGTACAGGGCTGCTTCACCTGGCTAGAAGGAAGCATCCCCAGCCCAGACAAACCCTAACAGGTCCTGCTGTAGGAAGAAGCATCCCAATGTCCAGCTACCTTCTCTTTGCTCAGCCTCAGGCATTACTCCATGCCCCATACTATTCAGAAAATTAATAGTTAAACACAGTTCCTGCCCCAGGCATCCCACACAGCACCAGCAACCAGCACGGAGCACAGCACCAGCAACACCAGACAAACTCCCTGCAGCACAAATCAACTCTCGTCCTCCCATCCCAATGACCCACAACTTAAAGAGACCTGACAGATCCTGTCAGGAGGTCACAGGCACAGAAAGACGCACATCTAGGGCCGTGCTTGCTCCCTGTCTTCAGGGTCCCTCCGAAGCAGGTAGCAGACAAGATACAGCTTGCTTTCTGACATTACATACCAGCACAGCCTGGATTAACAATGTTATTCTTCTTTCTCCCCCCGGCCTTCCCCATCACAGCCATCCCTTCCAGCATTGCTGCTCTCGTGCTTTGGGCTTCTCACCTATTTACCATGTTTCAGTAGAGAGGAAAGTGCAACACAAAGTCCCGCTCCAAAACGCAGAACAGGGAGCCAGGTAGAGGTTACAGATGCACAGGTAAAAATCCTTGATCCACAGCTTCAGCAGACAGATGCAGGTATCCTCCAGGGCCTCTCCTGCTGCCAACACCGCATGTCTTCTAGATTTATTCCCTAACCTGTAATCACGCCTTGGAGTGCGGAGTTCTGCCCCTTCTGTGCCCCTCTGCTCAGAGTCAGGTCTAATTGCCACCCACGCACAGCGCTGCGTTTCATCATCCATAAGCAAAAAGCAGGCCTCCCCTGACATCTCCCCCAAGCCACAATTGCCTCATACACACACCAAAATTCCTCAGCAAAACCTCCCATCAACCACATTAAATTAAAAGCGATAATGCTGGGATGGTCACTGCCTGACCACTTCCATAGTCCTGCTCATTTTACTTTGTCAGCCTGTGCACATTAATCAGCTCCTGTCCTGTTTTGACAGAGACCTGTCTTGGTTTTGTGCTTACCCAGCAGCTAACACAGATCCCTGGTCCATGGCTAGGACTTTTCCAGCGTGCCAGAACCACTAAGTCTCCTTTACTTGCTATGTGTCTGCATTTCCAGTTACTTCTGGTGCACTTCCTCAAGGCTGAAGCTGTTTCTAACTCATGTTTAAGCTCTCTGCATTTATTAAATTCCAGTTTCAGTAGTCCCTGGGTAGACTACATGCACCATTAATCTCTTTGGCCAGATTACTGAGAGGGTAAGCTGGGACACAATGGTCCCCACGAGGTGTTACACTGCTGTCTCCAGTGACCAGCTTCAACACAAGATCCAAAGAGCAATATGCAAATATTCGGCTTACCTTGAGCTTGTTTTTCCAGGTAAGGTTTCAAGAAAAATAGTATCAGACGCTTTATCTAAGACCAGCCCCCACAGCCCTCTCACTTGCAAAGCTCAGTATTTCTACCACGGGATCAGGTTTATTCAGTCATCAGCTATACAAACTCGATCCTCTTCCTGCAGAGGACAGCACATTTTCTGGGCTATCCTGCTTTCAACTTTACATTAAGTAACTTGCTACCTCTGGTTTGGAAAAGACTCAGCATTCAGTTTATCTGTTGGAGACACACTTCTCCCTGCTACGGATCCATTACTTGATCACACTCAAAAGCCACACGAGCATGAGGTCTTTGAAAAACAAACCTATTTAACCCTTTCAGGTGTGTCACCACAGTTTGCTACTTAGAAGTTTTACAAACGGAAACTACCTCTCTGGGTTTTGCTGTTTTAACCTGCAGGATTTGCTCACCGCTGAAGAGGTACTCGGCAAGTATACAAAGTAATTCATTCTCTGCTTACAGCTCAGCCTACATCAGGATGCAGCTTCTGGAGGCTTGCTGCAGTGCTCTGTCACGAGAGCAAGGCAATTGCGAGGATTGCTTCCCTTCCTCCCCCTTCCCTTTTGGGATATGTATCACCTTTATTTAGCTTTCCTTCATTGCTCCTGGGAATGAGTATATCTCCCCTGTTCCCTACTATTTCTGAATAAATGTCCCTTGGGGCCCAGCAAGCATATTTGTTCATTCATTCCCTTAACGCACTGAGGCACACAAGCACGCACACGGACACGTGCTTAGAAAAGCCTCTCTTACCTGATTTGTATCAAAACCTCTGCAATTTGGAAGAAAGAAAAAAAAAAGACAAAATTAAAAAAAAAAAACCTTGTAAGGCAACGGATTTCTAGCTAATTACTTCAAAATCAAGTCATTTCCAGTAGCGCTGCTGTACCATAGTAGCGCTACTCTCTCATAAATTACTGGTTCTGCTTTGTCTTTTATTCTCCACCTGCATTCCCACAGTCCTTGCTCCAAACAGCATTTGCAAGAGCTCTTCTTTCCCCTTTTTGGCTGCCATTCTGCCTTTTTATCGCCCTCTTTCTCTTCTGCAGTCTCCCAACTGACAAGGCAACAGCAAGCCAGTTCATAGCACAGCTCTCCCAAGCAACACTGCCATAAACTAAAGTTTCCCTACTGGATGGGGAACAAAATGCTACAAAGGGGAACCGTCTGTTTTCAAACCGCTTGGGGATAATTTACGAACAAGGAGGAGATCAAAAGAAACCCAACTCCAACTTTAGAGTTCAAGGAAGGGCAAAGCAACAGAACATCATGCTGCTCGGCCCCTTCTTCCCCCCCTCTCTCCCACTAAGGCTCTCCCTTACTCTGTTCTCGGTTACTTCTTCCTCCCCATTAACCTTCTCCAGTCTTTTCATCTTAGTATTTACAGCCACCCCAACTTGGGGTCTTCGCTAGCCACCCACTGAGCTTGTAGATCGGGCTCTGTCTCTTAATAGCACTTGCTAGACTATTAGATTAGCTGGCGAGTTCTGCATTCCTCTCAGCGCAGTGCCGAGGGAAAAGCAAAATAAGAAGAGCAAGTTGAGCAGGGGAAAAGAGGAAGATCACTGTAGTATGCACTGTGCCTCTTCCTAACCTCGCACCAGCTTCCATTCTGACCTGCACCTGAAGGGCCTGTCCTCAAGGACAACTTCTGCCAGACACCTAAGTAGCAAGGTAAGAGCCTTATGTACAGTGCTGCCCACTTCAGACCAAGGACTCCGCTTCCCATACACTCAGCATAAAGCTCGCAGCATACCAGCAGCCTTGCAAGAATTACAACCTCCTGCCAAGCTTGATCTCAGCTGCGGGAAAGTTTGCCCCTAGTATGCAGAAGATAAAAGACCCATTTCCTGCTCAAAACTTTGCAGCTGAAGTTTGCAGGGGTCACTTTCAACACTGGCCATCTTGATAGCGATATTACAAAGCCTGGACTGTAATTTCCCTTTGCAGTCTGATCAAAAGGGCAAGCGTTAGACAGCTCTCAGCAACAGGAGCTGGTTTACAAAGGCAGCAGGTGGCTGAAGATGCAGCTTTTCAAAGGTTTTCCAAAGGCGTGGGCCACTAACCTGTTGGAATGCTTTCTGCAAATCCCTCTGGGTGCCTATCTGCAGCTTTGGAGAACTAATCCCAGGATAAACCTATCCCCAACGGCAAACTAAAACACCCACACAGGCCGGGGGCTGAGCAGTGTATGGGGCCACTTATTTCAATGCCTTACTGGAGACTCAGAAGCCTAAGTTTCAGCACCAATACAAATGAAAAATCATAGCAAGCCACCGAGTTGAGGGCAGACTAGTCTACCAAAGCAGTCCTAGGCCAGACTCGTGCTTAAACGTCATTGCATCCAGGCCTAATCTGTTCAGTTAACAGATCAAAAAGAATATTGTTCTCACTGCCAACTCCAAACACTCCCTCTGGGATGCAAGAGTCAAATTTCTTCCCCTGCTTCTGAAATTCTCACTGGCAAGAGATTCTGCAGCTGAAAGAACTGAAAACATTATGAGCAATGCGCAAGGCTGAACCAAATCCCACTCCTCCCGCAGTGGCACTGGTGCTGCACGGCAAGCAGAAGTCAAACCTGCATTTTTGGCAGGTCAGAAGAATTGACTGAGGTGCATACAACACAAGCTATCATACTGGTCTCAATCATGTTTCTAGCCACAGTTGCATTGCTAGTGGTTTGCCTGAACAGAGCTCAAACAAGTTCAGATAGGGCTAGCTGAGATAGGGTTACCTCTTGCTGCTGGGCCTGGGGTGTTATTTTTGGGGTACGATCTAAAGTCACAGAAAAATGGCAACTTGAAGCGCTTTCACCAGCTCTGCTTCCCAGAGCTGCAAACTAAGCAGCAGTGGCAGCGCTCTGCCCGGACAGCCTCTCCCACAACATGGCACCAGCCTTCAGGAGAGTTCATCTCACTCCCCATGACAATCCATCTTCTACAAAATACCAAGCCAGCTCTGCAAACCTACGGGTTTTCAGTAGCGTTTGAGAAGCTGGCAGAAGGAAGATGTGCCAGAGAAACGTGTCATGGACGTGATTCAAAGGATGCTGTTGAATAATTCAGGTTCCAAGTTTAGGGGGGTTTAAAGGGCAAGGAGAGAAGAGGAGGAATGAGTAGGTTTTATTTTTGAGTTTGGGGGTTGTTTTTTGTTTTTCAAATGAGTGAAAAATTGGCAGCGGATTTTGCCGTATCACATTCAGAATCAAAAAGAAAAGAAACTGATTACACACAGTAATGTTAAAAGCACAGCATAAACACTTCTCTGCCACTCTGAACAATGTCAGGTGTTACAAATACCACTATTTTTTAATTCAAGCAGAGAACTATTTTAAGCTGGTGGTTTCCCTTTAAGCGTTCCTCTGCATTGTTGGAAACCTAAACACAAGGGTTTCATTTAATGCATGACTGCCAGAAAGAGAAAAACCAACTAGTCTAGTTTCCCTGAATAAAGAGTAAGGGGTAGTACATATCAGTTGTGTTTGTAGCTCTCAGTCTGCAGATACAGAAAACTGCTAGCCGAAAAACAGGCAAGCAGGGAGGACAGTTCCATGAGCAGGACTTTCTCAGGATTGCTAGTCCCCTGGGTTTTACCCAGAGCATCAGAATACACCTGTTCCCACATTTCTTCTGCGTGCTTCATTATGTCCTCTTAAAGCAGAGGAGACACGACACCCTACCCCTCACTGCTCTTTCTGGTGCTCACACAGTTAAAGTGCTCCGCTGACTCAAGTAAAGAGCCTACCGCTGTCAGGCAAAGGAAAGTATTAACCTGTTTCACAGATGGGGAAACATGCACAAAGGCTAAATGACTTGCCCAAAGCCATAGGATGACTTGGTGATAGTTACACCTTACCACAGGGTGCGCCCTGGCTGTTCCAGGGCTTTATACTGGTCCAAAAACAGGGAAGCTGTGAACTCTCTCACCTGTCTTCATCGTACAAAGGTGTGTTGTGTTTCTACATTCATTTGAAGTCTGAGATTGAGATAGCTGGAGATGGACGGGCATAAGAGGGGAGCAAAGTGAGTTTTGTCTGTGAGCTAAGAAATCTACAGAGCTCACATAGCAGTCACACAGCTACCAGATTTCTTAATTAAAAAAAAATTCAGTAAAAAATATGGAGGGCACCTTCTTGCAGAGATACTGGGTCTATCAGAGGGGAGCTGTTTGCTATCCTACTCAGCGTTGAAACATTTTTCCTTATCCCCACGTCCCCCAAAAAAACGAAACAAGCCTGCAGTTTACAGCTCAAAACATGAACCCTTCATGAAACTCTTGTGTAGCACCTACATCCTGAAACACGATCGGAGGAGCACAAGTGGCAGCAGGACTCCCGCCACAGCTGCCCGATTGCTCAGCGTGTTGCTAAGTTGCAGGGCAGAGAGGCTGGATGGAAGAGGCAGCTGAAGGAAGAGGGAGCAGGGCAGGCTAGCTCTCCACTGCGGCAGCAGAAGGCCATGAAGAGGGAGAGGATGTTGGAAAAAGAGACTGCAGCCTCACCATACACATCCGCGCATACCAACTGTCCTGCTGGGGCACCCGTTGCACACACATGCACTCCCCTCACACACTTCTGCATCTCTGCCCCCCACCCACTTTCCTGTCGGGTTGTCCCCACGTTCACAGAGCCAGGCAGCAGGCACAAGTCACTTGAAAGTCCAGTCCTCCCAAGGGCACGCACCAGTGAGGTTCAAGAGACATTTGGCTAGGCCTATGTTATTTAAATAAGAGTTACCTTCAGAAGAAAAGTTTTAGGCTTAGGTCCTCTCTTCTTGGGCCCGTACAGCTCACGCTCTCGTTCCCTTTAGGGAGTCAAATTTGTCAAGAAGTTAAAACTTCTCCCAAAGGGAGAAACAGAAGCATACAAGTTTAAAAAAAGAAGAGCCTGGACACCCTTTCCCGCTCACCCACCCAAAGCCAAACCTGCTGCAGCCCCCCAGCCCGGGGCGGGGGATGAGCACTCACTTCTGCTCGAAGGCGGCAATGAGGCGGGAGTCCAGGATGTTCTCCTCGGGCTCCCAGGTG